AAGAAAAGAAAAAGTTACCTCCCCCAATCCACCCACCCGCCTTTCTTCTCCTTCTCTCGCCTTCCTCCCTCCTGTTCATTCCCCCTTGGACATACAATAGAGAATGAAAATACAGCGTGGAATAAACAACTTTTATCAGACTGGAGCAAATGCAATCGACTATTTTATTCAATTCTTCATCCCAGAAGCATCCCTTACTTTATCTACCCGGCAACTATCCCGGCAGCTTCAACTGAGGAAAAAAAAGAAAGTTCTTTATGCAAATTAAATGCTTTATACTTGATTAGATTACAGATGCAATAATTGTCTTGGATGATTTATGGGGTGTAATTTGTTGCCATAAACTGCAGGAAAAGCTCAGTTGCCGTGGTTTATACAATGAAGACATTAGATCAACAGAGCTTAGGACATATGCTATAAATCCATCTTGGTGAGCACATATACACAACATTAGAAGATTAGTTTGCTGAGGACACTGTGTTTTCCAGGATTTAAATGTAAATAATCAAGAAAAACATCCAGGAACTTCTTTTCTAGGAAATGGGAAGTCATCATGCTTATTGAGAGAGAACAGAGAGTCAACTGATGGAATTAAAAGTAGAGACCAAGTGCAATGGGAAATGAGATAAAGAGAAAAGAAAGGAAAGTACAAGCCTCTGGGTGGCTCTTAAACCATTGCTCTAGTAAAATGGGGTGTTCAATAGCCATACTGATGTGCTGATTTAGCCTGGGGTAGTCATCAGCCTGTAGGAGTTACTGTGTGGGATTGCTACCCTTGTAGGAGACTGACAAGTGGGAAATTAGGTATTTGCCACAACATCCACCCCATCTCCAGGTACTGATACTTTACAGCAGGCTAATCTCAACAAGCGCTCTCACACTTCACTAAGACCCTGTCACATTGAGAGAGAGAGGAAGAGAGAAGTAGAGAGATCCTCTTTGCTTGTCATCGATCTATGACGCATATTACCACCATAATCCAATTATTTTTGTTTTGCTTGCAAGACGGCTCACTTGAGTCAACGAAAATGCATATATAAATATATCGCTGACAGATTGCAACGGCCTGTGCAAAATGCACAAACAGCTAATTCAGGTGGGCTTGAATTTTGGCTAAAAAAAGCAACACACACACACACACACACACACAAGGAATGCTGAAACTGAGGAGGGAAAGTAATTGAGGAGGCAGTCAAGTGAAAACAGATTTGTTTGACAAACTTTGTTTGTGTGTGTGTGTGTGTTGTTTTGTTATTTTGTCCTCCTGTCTTTCCCAATCTTTTCACTTAATACCTTTTATTTTCCTCCTTGTCGACCACTTTTCTTGTACAGGCTGAGGTAAATCTGTAGCAGAGGACCAGCAGCAGCAGCAGTGTTGATGTGACCATGAGGTCAGAGGCCTTGTTACTCTACTTCACGCTACTGCAAATAGCCGGGGCGGGCTTCCCCGAAGACAGCGAGCCCATTAACGTCTCACACGGCAACTGTAAGTAGACTGTATTTATTTCTTTTCTTTATTGTTTTCTTCCGTTCTTTTGCACTCTCCCACCTCTCATCACAAGTCCTCCCTTACTCACTCCATAGTGCTTCACATCCCTCTAAACCTTTGCTTTTTTGCAACCCCCACCTCCTCCCACATTGAATGCATTTTGAAGACATAAAGTGTAATTTGGCACCCAGGGATAGGTCCTCTGCACAGACTAAAACAAAGGACTTAAAGCAGCATTTGAAATGAAGTCCACCCCACATCAAAGGATAATCCACTATTTTTCTGTTGGGCTCCTAATATGCTGTGTGTGATGGTGCAAATGCTCAGGTGGGCTATAAAGATATGGCTATTGCTTTGTCCGTGTTTCTCTCTTTGTCCTGTTTCGTTATACTCTCTTGGGGTGTAACACTGTACATCCTGGCCAGGAGAACAGAAACAGAAGCCTGCCATGCTACGTAGACCCACTCCTCTCACTGACTGCTAATTCAAACCAAGCGCTTTCATCCAAAGCCGCAAACAATACAGCACCTGCACGGTGCAGCACAGCACATTTATAGCCTACAATTTAAGGTCACAGGAGGAGCTCCACCAATAACAGTGGTGGCATTTTCTCATCCAGCGAAGACACATGGTTGGACATTTGGTTATGTACTACTTGAGAAAAGCTATGAAATTCATACTTCTTAAGTCTTAAAGTTATTACTACAGTTTTAAATAAAAGATTACCACATGGAGGGATTAATTTTCATCCTCTTCTTGCAGACACAAAGCAGTATCCGGCGTTTGTTGGCCACAAACCTGGCAGGAACAACACACAGAGGCACAAACTGGACATCCAGCTCATCATAATCATGAACAGGACATTATACATCGCTGCCAGGTGGGTGATAATAGCTACTTGATCAGATTTTTTACATATGTTTTCTCCAGACCAAGAGGTTCCTTAAAAAACAGATGCTACTTGTCATGAACTGGCCCAAATTTAGTGACAACAAGGGGAATCACAGACATACATAAATTTCGGGAGACAATCCAAATAATTAGTAATTCTTTTCTTTATGGAATAAAAGTGCAAACCACAGTAAGTTAGGAGTAATTAAGTAGAGCGAGTGTGGTTCTACCAGGATTATTGAATCCATCATCACCCCTCTCATATTACAGTCACTGACTGAAGTTGACTTTCAGCTATGAATGACTCCCATCAATTGCTGCCAAATGAGGATTGTGAACACATGATCCCGTTTTAACTCAATAATGGCTGAGAGCTGTGAGATCGCCAGCAGTCAGGCAATCGAACTGAACTTTGGAGCCCTGCTGTGCTGTTTCCTTTTAACGTTTTGGGAATCAGGAGGGACTTATTCAGAGCAAAATGCTGAGACTTTAAAGCACTTTGTAGTTTGGAATTCTTTCATTGCCTCTTTGTTCTTTCTATTTTGAGTTGACCATCTGCCAAAACCCCTTTTACCCAAGTATGATGTCCCTGAAGACTTGTGCCCTGTTTTTTTAAATATCCAGGCAGACATACAAACTATCTCGCAAACAGATTTATACAAATGAAAATCTAAAAAAAAAGGAGTTTTCATTTGTTTAGAAAAACTACTTACCATACATATAAAGTACGTGGATGTGATCCATATTTAGGGTCTAATCCCACCACCCAAACAGCCCTAATCCACGTTCTGCATCACTGATAAACAGTATTACATGGCTAATACAAATGTTTTGACTCTTTATTTGTGGGCAGCCTAGTTTCCCTCGCAAATCGATTTTTAAAAATCTTTGTTTCTCCGTCTGGCTGTGTTTTCCTTGTCTGTCACCTGCCTTTATTGCTTTTTGTCAATCTGTCAATGTGTTTTTCACCTGCTTGTCTTTATTTTTGTGTGACTCAACTTTCTGAGATGATAGAGCTCAATGTCACCATCTGTAGACACAAAGAAAACAGACATTGATTTTTTCTCACTTCATGACACACTGAACGATCTGTAAAAACAGTCAGGTCCATGTCCAAGGCATCAAGAGGCAGGTTTGCCTTCAGTGCAGGCTGGAATATGCAGTATAATGTAAAGGCACCACCGAGAAGACATTAATAAAATGGATCCTTATCTGCTTGTTCTTTGCCGTCTATGGCTAATTGAGTGGCAAGCTTGATTGGATACTGTTGACAGCCACAATAGGGGTCTTTCTTTGTTTTCCTCCCAAGCATGTCAAATTAAATGGCTGGGGGGTGGCTGCTGCTTTCAGTGGCAGAGCTTTTTAACATATTTGCGGTTATTAAGACAAGGTGTGGGGATAGTGAGAAAGGAAAACAGAGTGATGTGCCACCAGAGGCTTTGGTCTGCCTGCTGCCCACCTGTTCCACATGGGGTGGCAGGGGGAGGGAAATAAGACACAGAAGGTTTACTGGGGATATGTGTATGTGAATGTGTGTGTGTATGTGTCTTGAGAGCAAAAGGGTGTGTGTTACCGACTTTAGCATGCTCACCGGTTGTCCAGTGGATTTAAATGCGATTTCTTTGGCATGGTACAGTATGTGGGCATACATGCATGTATAGATATTTTGGATGGCATGTGTTGGTGGCTGTGCGTGCTACAGCCATGATTATGTCTGCAGTGAGTTGTGCACATGTTTGTGTTTGCATGTGCATTAGACCTACTCTTGTTCAAGGCAGACGGGAATTCTCACTCATGGCCGGGATATGTAACCCCCAAATAACTGGAGTGGCTGACTCAGATTAGACCAAGCTGGACAACCTTCATTTTTTATTTTTTATTTTTTTTATTATTAATTAATTCCAAGCATGTAATAAAACAGAGAGAAACAGAGAGAAAAATAAAAAAAATAAAAAAAAGAAATCAACATGTAACACAAAACAACCAAACCAATTACCATATACAACCAAAAAATAGAAATTTCTCTTGATGATGCTTAGTCATTACATGCTTGCAAGGGAGTAGAAGGACGTAGTACTTATCTAGTTCTACCCCTAATTAATCCTGACACAGAGAGAAGAATGTTGGAATCAATAATATAGGCACACAAATGGCAGCCCATGCACAACGACTCACTGGCACTAACAGGATATTGATAAAGAGAAGTAAAAGTTTAAGGCAAATAGTGGACACAGTCACCGCTCCAGACCTCACTGTGAAAGCAAGTCAACAGTGAACCCAGTAAGACTCGAGCTGCAAAACAACAAACAATACAGAAGCAAAAAAACTAAGCAGGCATCAATCACTGCCTTTATGATGACTGTCCAGTCAAATGATTTGTTTATTCTGGGGCCAGCATCAAACAGCTTTGCCATCATGCCTCTAGACCAGTGAGCCTCAGTTCTTGGGGCGCAGCAGCTTGCAGATGGTCACCGTGAACACAGTCCAAAGCTCAACACTGTTTCAGGCTGGTTTTTGAATGGCTGCTCAGTGTATTAATCCCTTTGGCTCCTTTTTTTGGTGCTGGCAATAAAATCACAAGATTTCTAAGCTGTGAGATGGATGCAAACACAGCAACTGATGAAATTGTAAATAAAAAAAAGT